GTGCTTATCTGCTGGCCCAAGGACAGTGCTGGCATATTTTCTCTTTAAATTTCAAGTTTATCTTGAAATCAAAAGGAAACCAGTTTTATAAAATTCTATCTATAATATGTAAGTGAGGAACAAGGGGAGTCAGAGAGAAATGGAATGATCCCATTGCTAAAAAAATGTCAGTCACATACACCAAAAACAGTTCTGCCTAAAGAACAGGATTAGTTAAAAACAAGACTCAAAAGTTGTAAAAAAGTTCTCAGTTGTTATTATGAAGAATACATGTGAGCTAACAAGTTGAAGTCCAGATAGAGCCATTTATGAGGTCCTTACTCTGTCCTGTTAGAATTACATGAATCTGTCTGCAAGACAGAAATGGATCAAAATAATGGGATTGATGAGACCAAGCTGAGGACCTGCATGTGGGCAGGGGGAGGGGAACTTCAAAGAGCAAGATTTTCTGCAAGTTGGCTTAATAGTCTTGTTTTAGTGAAACTGGGTTGTTCTCATGCCTTTATGAATGAACAAGAAATTTCAAGGGTCATTTCGAAAAAACCTATCTGACTAAGGATCACACTTCTGCCGTACCAGTCATGCAAGGTAATATCAGCTCCTGAAAGGTCACGTCAGCATGGCACCTGGGACACTTGAATTAGCATGCCATTCAGTCAGAAGATGCCTAAATTATCTGAAGGGGGAATGGTAATCACTCCCAATTATTCTGAGTGTAGCAGTACAATTAAGATGAATCACAGAAGAGTTTGGGGCTTTGGGGAGCTTTCCCACATATTCTCTTGAGATCGCATTCAAATCTGAGAATACACTTTCTAAAACTTTACTTCTCCTGCACTTAAGGTAAAGAGGAAAATTTCATATACTTAGCTTCAAAAAGTAGACAACTTATAGTAGAAAATTTTAAATCATTAATCAGTAAGTCACATGAGGTAGCTCCTTAAGCAATGTGAAAAATTCTGCTGAAAACATGAGCCAGAGTCTCTCTGAACTGAGTTAATAAGTCACTGTCTTCCTATTGAGGACTATTTCTGTGTTATTTTCAAAGCTATGCAGTAGTGTGATGGACGGATGGGTAAGTGTTACCTTACTGATCTGACATGTTCACTTAGTTCTTTAATTCCAGATGTGAACAATGACAAAAATCTAATTTTAACTGTAAGCAAACACAAACATGGGCGGAGGCTGGTGGGGGCAGGTTAAGACAAAGTTCTGAGAGGGATAATTCTGCTCTTTAGACGTCAAATGTTGACCCCTTCCAGGTAAAAACCATACTACAGAAGTGAGTTGCTCAAAATAATTATAAAAGAACCCTGAAGCATTTTAAGAGCAAAAATAAGAAAAATAAATCTACTAAAAATATGAAAAGACGACGAAATTCAAACACAGACATCTTCCCTTCCCACCTGAAAAGCCATCCTGAGAAAGATCACAGAGCCAACGGTGCAGTCAGCAGCACTGTCCTGACCAGGCGTCGCTGCAGTTGGTGGGAGCCGAGCAGCGACGTTTGCTGTCGCTTCCTGCACTACGTCTGCTGCTGCTCCTTCCCTGAGCAGCTGAAGAGAACCGAGAAGTTTCTCTTCAGAGGTGTTAAACACTTGGGTTGCTTGACGGACAAATGGAAGTTTGACACCTAAGACGCATAACCACAGTACCTGAAGCCAGTGGGAACTTTCACTATGTAAAGGCAGCCAAGCTCACTGTTTTTCAGGCACCACCAGGGTCCGGACCCAGCAAGGAGGCAACCAAACTTGTCTTCCCTTCGAATACATCGCCATTGGCCTCCCAGGGCTTTCACAGATGAGACGCAGAGAAAGGAGGTCTTGGGAGTATGCTTTTAATAAACTCTCCAGGGCCCTTGTTCTGAAATATTTAAGAGGCTACCCCATCTTCTCACACTCCTTGAAAATGACCATCCCAAGCCAAGGTTTACTGTGCTTTAAGAACTCACACTGACACCAAACATGTTATCATTATAGGTTGCTTTCTTGCTAGGCCCGCCCGATTTATCTGAACAAGAATTCTTATTTAAAATTCTATGAGACACCCATTCACAAGATTTCTAGTATAGACACACCTCTAAGAATTCCAGTTCTGGAAGGATGTAATTAGCCAATTAAAATTTTCCTTCAGATGGGGGGGAAAAAAAAGCTTGAATGGCAAAAGTGGTTCTCCTGTGCAGGTAACTCTGTATTTAGGTCATGAGTAAGGGCTGTGTGAGCACATGCATGTCAGCGTTTGTCTTAAAAAGAGCAAATGCATATAGAATTGTTAAAATGAGCTACCAGCAGAAACACTCCTGTGCATGCCAGTTGGCCATGGCTGGTATTCTCTGGATTATCTAAGGTTACAAGTAAACAGAAGATTCTGTGTGGGAAAGGAAGGGGCAGTTGGGTTTTCCCTCAACCCCAGATGTTTTTCTAATCCTAACACCTGAGGGCAGCAGATACAGTAAACAAGGGGTTGTTTGTAATGCAAATCCAAGCAACAGGGCTGACAAGGGACAGCTCCCACCCTGAGTCCAAACACAAATGGTCACCCTGCTCCTGACACTCTAGATGCAAAACCTAGCGCTGTGGATGTCCGCTACACACTCAGTCCTGCCAAGAACAGAGCTAAAGAGCAAGAGGCAGAGTGTGGCTTGAGTGAAGAGGAGGGGGTGCCTTCCGGTTAAAGTGCTTTGGGACTCAGCATTAAAAACAGCTGTTACGAATTAAAAACCCAAGACTGCGACCCACTTCGGCTGGACCCTAAAAGAGAAAAATTGAACATAGTCTTGTGGTTAAAACTGCAAAGCTTCTGGAACTGGGCGAACTGCAGAATATTGGCAAGAAAGGGTGCCTAAAATAAATGTGTTCTAAAATGGAACAGAATAAAGCAAAGTAGCAGATAGGAGGGTAAGGTAACTGTTTCCTAACCACACCCCTTTCATCCACTCTACCCCCACCAACATTTATCCTGGCCACAAATCTTTCCTAAACAATGAATGACTGTTCAATTCACTGACTTCAAAATTTTAATATATACACTAACAATAAATACTTTCCATTCTATCAATTTAAAATGATTAGTATACTAAGGGGGTAGGGGAAAAAGCTGGTTTAAAGAGGAAGAGCAGCTTAATTTTCAATATTCTTGGGAATAACATAAAAACAATAGATTTTTATTATATTGACTTTTAAAAAATTATTGCCTTGAAAGGACAACTGGCTGAACTGAAGAATAAATTCCACAAATACTTATTAAGCACTAACTGTGTTCACAGCCTAAAAGTGTAAGATTATTTTAGTGGCTTTTTTCTATTGTTACCAAGTCAGAGACTATAGTTTGATTTGTGGGAAAGATTATTTGTTATTCTAAAAAGCCTTCAGCAGAAATCTTCAATTATTTCTTATCTAAAATATAGTCTCCGTCCCCCACCCCTTCAAAACATCAAGAAAAAAACAGCCCAACTTTAAATTATCTGATATGTAAGCATATTTAATTCAACAGAAACAAAGTCTCCAACAAATTTTAAAACTCAGAAGCATTTATTTGGGTGGTCTCTAAATGTTAAAAACTGTATTTGCTTTTATTAGTTCATTCACTTTTTAGGTAAGAGAGTCATATGTACCACACACACATTTCTATCATTAAATACTTGAAAAGCCTTTTAAAATAAAATGTGAAATCACTATTTCCTATAACAACCATCATAAGATTTCCTAGATCTCCATTTTAGCTTCTACGTGAAAATTGGAAAAATCTTATTCCCTACTTAAGAGGTCAAATATCTTTTTGAAATTCGTGGGAAAAAAATAACTTTTAAATCACAGTGCCCCCCCAAAAAGTGGGTATATTTCCTAGATCTATCTCTTCAACAGCTGAGGGCCACAGATAATCAAGATAACCACAAATACTCTTTTTATTTGTTCATGACTGATTAGGAAATATTTCTCTTTTCTACTCTGGAATATCTCATGGTTCCCAGATTCTGTCCACTGAGATATCAACGACAGTACTTGCCCCAGATGTCTTCCACTGATTTTTCTTTTCACTTGGTGAAAGCACTGGGCTAACAAGGCAAAGATACAGGTTCCATTTTATGATCCTAGATTTGACTCACAGGAGGGCCAGTTAGACTGAAACATCATCCCCAAGACCCAAACATACATGGTTTTCATTGGGGTTTGGATGGTACAGGGTGAGTGAGGCCAGAAAGAAGGTAAATATATTGATGGATCAGTAACAATCCACCACTACCTCCAAAGAGATGAACCTCAGTGAGAACTCCATTTCACATTCACATACCACACAAGTTACCCTTTAGATGTTTTCTTACTATATAAATTGAGGTTTACATGTTAAGCATAATATATAAGGCAGTCATAATGCCTCCCCATTTTTAGAACTTAAAAGTTAAGTGAGCCACCACATTAAAAAAAAAATTTCATTAAGAGTTATTTTCAAGAGATACTTCTTAGCAACAGACAATAAAGTAAAAACAGCTCACTGCTCCCCCACACCTAAACGGATTTTAAAGAAACATTAGCTAACACAATAAAATGAGACACTTTTAAAAGCTGAAGTAACATTCCCAATGTTCAGCTCCAAGTGAGCCAAAGGAATTCTGATTCTACATAGCTTACCGGCAGTGAAAGCCATAGACCACTTAGTTAATTGAAAGATTAAATCAATTTCTCTCTCTCATCAGAGTAGAAAGCATAATACTCACAAAATCATGGGTTTGTTGATTTAAATTCACTTGATATCATGATAGCTCATGATCTGTTTTTTTATTCATCTTAACCAATAAACCAAAAGCTAATATCCGAAGGTCAAAACATCAAAAAGTAGCACCATTTTAAGGCAGCCATTCCTTATAGCATGTCTTATTTAGCAACAACTGGTCATATATAATGGAAGCATTTCTGGTGAGTTTAAAAAAACAAACATTTTGCCAAAAATACAAATTAATTTGCACTTCTGAAAATAATTTGCAACATCAGCATGTTACTCACTGTTCTCGGGATGGGTGGAGAAAGAGATCCATTTGACATATATGGGTCATTATTCATATTTGGCATCATTATGTATCCAGAATAACTCGAGTAAGAGGGTCCCTTATTGTAGAGACCTCCATCTGGATGCTTTCCTAAGAGAAGGCAAAGAACAATCAGTGATGCTTTGACTTCCTTTTATATCACTGTATTTTTCATGGAAAAGTTAATAGTTCTATTATAAATTAGGCCTTACATAAAAAATTTGTTTACAAAATATTATAACTGGTTTATTATGCTCTATTTTAGATTGACAGTATTTACTCTCTTATATGGCTTAGCAGTGAACCAGATGTTTTAAAAACATGTGGTTCAATTTACTTCCACTGCTGACTGGTGTTTTTACAAAAATAAGTGTTATCCATCTAACTTAATTTGCTCTAATACTAACAAACTGGACTAAGAAATAGACACATGAAAAAAGGCATACAAAGCTATAATATAAATACATTAGGCTATTCAGCTATACACACACATAGATATTTATACACTTAAAAGTTATGCTCCACTTTATAGGCAAACTCAAAAATTCTACCTGTACTTCTGGATTTCTGGAAATTTTCTAGATTTTACTGACGGAGCAAGCTGTATCTAGTATATGGGCAACTACCCAATTTATGAAGGATTAATTCCAGGAGACTTAATTTTATTTGCTACATATATATCACACTGCCAAAGAAAAGTGTGTTTGCATGTGTGTGTTCAGTGTATACATTTCTTCCCTTTTATCTGTGTATCTACTTTGTAGCTCAGAAGGAAGCTTGATATTATAGTTCTCTTCCCTTCTTCCCCTGGCTAACATGTATGTGCGAACCCTTCATTCTGGTCAGGCCAATTGTAAGTAATTAAAGGAGCACAGAAATGCAGGCTGTTCAACAAGGGAACCCTACAGATCGCAGATTCTTTTAAAGTCACAAGGAGTTCTCCTTAAGTCTCAAAAAAAAAATAAGCAGAATTTTTACAGTTTTGAGCAAGAATCAGAAATGGGGAGAAAATCTATCACGTTTCAAATGCATAATTCTTAATTTTAAGATTAAAGTGTTATATATTTACACATTAGATTCTTCTTTATTGAGCTATATTTAGTCTGCGCATATAGTGCCTGCCTTCTCACTAAAACAAGAAACAGCAAACAAACGAGTCCCACCTGAAACTAATCTTGTTGGAAAATAAATCTGTGTAGACTGTCACTCTTTGTAAAAATGCATGAAAAAATACTAAAGATGACAATTAGAATATTAGGTAAAATGAGGAAAAGAGAAAAACTCATTATAGACATTCCTCTTCCATAAAGAATCTGGAAGCCAAAGGAAATTCAAAGGCCCTTAACTCATTCAGTTTTATAATTATGGAAATATGTATTACAGGTAAGCAATAAGTTTTCTGGGTTTTCTTTACCATTTTGCTCAAACAACGGGCACAATCTTATTACATATGCTTCGAGTTTCTTGGATGCAAATAAAAATAGCAAAATGTACCAGTATTCACAAATTGTACATGTTAAATGATAAAGTTGGGAGAAGCAGAATAGCATCTTACCATCATCAGGATGTTCTCTGGCCTTGTCATGGTAGGACTCCTGAGAGGTTTGTCCTTGTCTGGCCACCTACCAGCACAAATCCCCACCCCCAAAGAAAGAAAACTGCTTTAGAGTTTGTAACAATAATGATATAAGTGCGTATCCACTGGTAACTCAAAAGAGGGACATTAGGTGCAACTCAATCTACCTGTTTTATTACTCTAAGAGGACAGGCTAGGACTGAGTCCTGGGAAATCTTTTCAGTGTGTTCCTGAAAACTACCTCTATGGTACTAGAAACTACAGATGACAGTAACAACTGAAACGAACTTGTCAACAATCCACGTGCTGTTCTGACCACTGTTTACTAAAATACATCAAGACTACTTGGATGCCTAATATGATAGGAATTTCAGTTAGAGGGGTTGATCATTTTGATGGCTTCTTCAACCACTGTTTACTTCAGTCAGACCTGATTAAAAGCAGGCTGAAATACCATTTTGCAACTGAAAATGGCATTTTAAATAAAAACAAGCCCATGACTTACAAGCGGGGGTCTTAGGCAATTGTCCCAAACCAATTACAGCAGGAGCCCCACTGCTCCTAAGCTACCATGGCTGTCAGTGCGAGCTTACAAGAGAAAAGTGAACTATTCTGTGGTTAAAGGGAGGAAAACTTGAGAGTCGAGCTACAGACATCTAAAAGGTAGCCCAGCTAATATCAGTTCTGGTAACCACCATCCACCCAGACTCAACCACGTGCAAATCGGTGGTATTACCCCTTCACCATCTTCCCTGGGTCTGCCCCAAGCCCACTTACCACCAGCAAAGATTAACAGAACCCTAATACCGGAGTTCTGGGGCTTCAAACGCAGCGCCCTTCTCCCCAAGGCAAAAACATGTAGAAAATGTGAAGTGGGTGGCAAATTTATTTATAGAAAAAAGGAAGGGCAAGGAAAAAGGGTAGAAATTTGAAAAGGCTGTTCTACAAATACGAGTTTGGCCTCAAGTGTTTCAGAGGCTATTTGGTTCCTTGGACATGTGTCCTCCCAGTGACCTCCTCTCCCCGCCCAATACACAGTCACAAATCTTTTAAGTGGAGTTAGGTATGCTCTGCGCAACCCCAGTTTCCCCCTTAAGTTGGCATGTTGAGATGAAAGATTCAGGGGAGAGAGAACACCCCAATGTTTTCCTTAGGACCCAGGCCCTGGGCCTTCCAAAACGCGTTACTCACCCCTGCCATTGGGATAAAGAAGGTAATTCTGAAGTGCTCTTAAACTTGCTATTTAAAACACAAAATGTCTCCGCCCCCAAAACCACAGGCTTTCTTTTTGGGGGCAGAAGGATGCCATTTAAGGAAAAAGAATATACCCTCCAAATTTCTTTGGAGGGAAAAAGCGTTGGTGAAACCATTGAGTGTCAGGACTTTTCTACCGGATTTCCTCCAAAGCGTCTCCCAGTTGTTGAACAACGGTGGCCAGTGGAGTGTCGGGTGTCGGGTCCATCCGCCTCCCCCACTTCTGAAGCTCTCCGCGAGGCCTGAAATAGCCCTTCCGCGAGGGCCCGCTCGCGGCTCGCTCTCGCCAGCACCCACGTGTCTCTATTTACTCTACTCGGGTTACCGACGCTATCGCCCGCAGCGGGCCAAGAGATCTGATAAGCGCTTTCCACCCTCCCCTGAGCGGGTGCCCTGGCTTCCGCTGCCTCTCTGAGTCGCTCTTCTGTATAGATTTAAGGCCTGATTCGGGCCCAGGCATAAGCGTGCTTTTCCCCCTTTAAGTGGCGATGGATGGGGAAAACCAGCCTTGCGGCCGGTAGTGCGAGAGCCCTCCCGGGGTGGCTCAGCTCGGCTCGCCCACGGCTCCGGCAGCTGGCCCGGCGGCCGCGAGGGCCCGGCCCCGCACCGCCCCCGCCGCCTGGTCGCGCGCCCCCTCCGCGGGCCGGCCCCGCGCGAGCCCCGCTCGGCGACGGTTGGGCCGGCCCCGCCTGTACCCTGCCCACGCCCGCCACCCCTTCCTCTCTCCCTGCGGCTCTGCTCGTCTGTACCTAAGGCCCTGGTGGTGTACGCACTTTTGCAGAGACATCTACCGAGATAGCGGGTGCACTTTGTTTTCCGTCCTACGGAAGAACTTCTCAGGAGCGCTGTTCAGACATCCTCACCTTAATGCACCGCACCCTCTGAACCCCACCAAAAAGGCCGAAGGCGAAACGTCATGGGTTAAAGGCAGGTTCTCCTGGCCTCAAACCAACGGTTTAGTCACCGAACGCCAAAACTGATACACTTGGACGCTTCCCTGCACACCCCTCCACCGCACACACAAGAAGAACGCTGACCAGAAGCCCAGCCACCCCTCATCCCGCTTCCAGCAGACCCACCCGGGACCCGCGAGCCCGGGCTGCCCGGCGCCTTCCCTCCCTTCCTCCCTCTGCTCTTCCCCGGGACCCGGCACGCCTCTCAGGGATGGGGCAGCGGCCAGCTCACCTCGTGTCCGTTGCTCGCCGGGATGATTTCGGATTCGTTGACCAAGGAAGACTTGATGTCGGCTAAGTCTCCTTCCTCTTCAGGGTGACTGATCTCGGCGAAGATCTTCTCCTTCTGAGGATCGCCCTCGTCCTTGAAGGGGATCATCTCGTCCGTGGCGCAGAGTTCCGGGTCCCCCCCACCGCCGCCGCCTGCCCCGGAGAGTTGGGGCATCCCGACCACTGTGTAATCTCCGCTCCGCGGGGGGAGCACCCCAGGCAACAGCAGGAAAGAGAAGGGATCAACGAAAAGGGGGAGAGGAAAAGGAGAACTGGAAGGATGCGTCAGGGAGGAGAGAGGGCGGAAGCCAGGCTGGAGTGCGCCGGGCTGGCGGCCGGCAGCCGGAGCTGCTGCAGCGGCACCCGAGCCCCGGTGGCCGCCCGCGCCTTCCCACTCGGCGGAGACCGATGCCGGCGCCCGTCCCCGAGGCCGAACAACACAGGGCGGCGAGGGCCGCGGCGGCCGGCGCCTCTGGGGGCGTCTGTGCCCCGCGCTTGGCTAGGCTGCCAGGGCAGCCGCCCCACGCCCCCGGCGTCTCCGGGGTCTGCGCGCGGAGGACGCCGGTTCTGGAGGAGATTCGACTCTCCAAAGTGCAGGGGAGGGTCTGTCGGCACGACTCTTCGCAGATCTCTCCACCTTAGCTTCCCTGGATGACGATCCAGGAGTTTGTTTCCCGAGGAAAGGAGCGAGCTGGGCAAAACGGCCCCGTTTACCCCAGTAGAGACGGTGTAAGGAGAATCAGAAGATAATGAAATGTCCACTTCCTGGAGGGTTAAAAAAAAAAAAAAGCCACCCGGGTTGGAGATGTCCGTTTCAAAGCTTCTTATTTCCTTCCCTTTCGCTTCGCTTTTCCTTCTCCAGGCGCATTCAATCTGCCGGAGGAGAAGGTGGGGGGCGGAGGAGGGGAAGAGAAAGAGAAGAAGTTTGCCAAGAATAAAGTTTGTGCCGGCGAGCGCAGGGAGTCGGTAGTGGAGGGTACTACTGGGTCTCCGGGCGTCAGAGCAGGGACCTCGGACCCAAAAGATTCTGCCGGGAGCTGGAGCCGGCACACACACACTCACACACACACACCCCGACTCCTCTTTGTTCCCGGCTCGAGTTTCTTCAGTCTGGCTCCCTCGCTCTTTTGCTCGCCGCTCTCCACGCCTCCGCCGGGCCGCTTGTCAAAGAGCTGTGCCCCTCCGGTTCCCCCAGCCGGGAGTGGGAGACGCCCGGAGATTGGCCGCGTGCGGGTCTGCGGATGCGTCCCAGCTCCTCCGCCGCCTCAGAGCGCGCAGCCTGGTCCCTCCTCCGCGCCCTGCCCCGCAGGTGAGCGGCTGCGCCTCCCCGCCGCCTCTCCTCCTCCCGCGCCTCGCCGGCGCTGAAAAGCTGCCCACTTGCGTCGCTTCTCCTCCCCTTCCCCTCCCCCGCCTCCAGCTCTCCTTGGCTGCCCGCTGGGGGGGTGGGGGACGGCGAGAAGGAGGTGGTGATTGAGGACTTTTTTTTCTTTTCCCAGAGCCTGTAGGACGAGTCCTAGGTTTGGGGGGGGGGGGGGGTGTTGGGTGTGTGTGTGTGTGTGTGTGTGCGCGTGCGTGCGCGCCCGCGCGCCTAGGGGGAAGATTCAGGCAACTTGGCTAGGGATGGAAGGACCCGGCGTTTCTTGTAACCCACGAAAGGCACGCTTTGCTCGCGTGAAATTGACAAGAAACTCTGCCCCAACGGTTTAACTTCATCATCTAAGTGTCTCTTCTCTTGTTCCCTTCCCACCCACCCCCCTCCTTCCTCCGCCAGTCTCTTCCCCCACCTCTTTTCCGCCTCTCCCTCTCCCTCCCTCTCTGGCAGTGGGAAGAAGATGAAAGAGAAGCCGCCGCAGCTGTGATCGACACCACGTTGATAGATGCTCTGACAGAGGGGATGAGGCGGGAATCGGGGACATAGAGAAGGAAAAGGGGAAACATAACACATTGCTCAACTAATAAGAGAACGGAAGCAAGAAGAACAAGAAAGAGAGTTGTGGCTTTCCTAAATACATGTAAAAGGACAAGGGAACACATGCTAACAAAAATAAAACCTCCAGACTTAACGAGAAAAATAGGAGGAAGAAAAAACCGAAGACTGAATCTTAATTATCGCTTTTAAAGCAAGATCTTTTTCATTACATCCTCACCATAGGATGCTCACACGCAGTTACAACTAGGTCGCTCGTGTATTTTCGAAGGTACATGCCACAATGTGTGGGAACCTCATAAAGAACGAAAAAAAAAAAAAAACCCACCCAAGTTGGGTGGGGGGAGGAAAAGGCAAAAGGACCCAGGAGAGTGAAGCCGGTAGAAGGAGGGAGGACAGGGCAGTCTCTGGCACCTCAGACTTCGGGCTCAAAGAGACCCTTGAAGATGCAAATCCAAATTCAACCTCAAAAATTTCCCAGCCTCCACCGTCTCTTTGATGCATTTTGTACAAGGACAGGACTTTTAAGGAGATGCTTTGTGAAAGTTACAGTATAAACGAAGCTGAAGTTTGAAAACATCACATTTTGTTCCTTGGCTCTCAAACTCCCTCAGTTAAAAATCCAGGCAAAATTATTATACCCAATACAGTAGCCATCTGTAAAACCTCAGAACAGTAAACAAGAGACAGGAAGAAATGTGTCTCCATCTCCCTTAAATTGAAAATGGGGAAAACATTACAGAATCAGACTTTAGCTCTATTATATAGGAATAGTCATGTAAAGATCCCTCTTCTTTTGTGTAAGGGAGAAATTGCATTCTGCTAGACATCGTATAAGTAAAGACGTTAACAATGCTCTAAATGAGCACTCAAAATATCGCTTATTACTTGAAATGGGAATTCACTAGGAGGCAATTTTTAAAACTATCATTTAAAGCATTCAGTTGGACTCATAGAGCATAGCCACTAGTCACACGGAAAATTTCTATCCCAGGTTAGGGTAACACTAAAGGGCTGATAATGGGAGCCAGAGAGAGTAAAGCATTAAATCCTCTGCAAATAGTTGAGAATGCTATGCCTTAGAGAAAGAGTAATTTTCTACAATGTGTAAGGCAATACTAAAAAGATGGTGGGAAACCCAATTTTACTTTTTGGTTGGTAGCATTATGCAACTTCGCTAGCCACCAGTGAGTGTAATGTCTCAGAGATGTGAACATGTAGCTATGTCAGACATTTATTCCCTCTGTTCTGGAGAAGGAAATGGCAACCCACTCCAGTATCCTTGCCTGGGAAATGCCATGGACAGAGGAGCCTGGAGGGCTAGTCAATGGGGTCTCAGAGTCAGACACGACTTAGCAACTGAACACACATACCCTCTGTTCTAAAAGAAATATGGGAAAACAAAGTAAAATGCCCTCCCATAAATGGGCCAATTCGATGGACAGGAAAAGAACTGGAAAATGCAGTTTCACCAAAACAGCCAGAGTAGAGATTCCTTTTCATCGGACTGTCAAGGGGTGGGGGTAGGGGGATTTTCTGGAAGCCAAAGAGATTAAGTGACGACTCCTACATCTGCCCCCCCCCCCCGTTAAAGTGTCGCAACTAATTCGAATCCCATTTACTCCTTCATGTTAATTATCTGGACTCCCTGAGTCATTTGGAGCTCAGCTCCAGGTGTCCTGGAGATTAAGAGCTCGAGAAGATGGGAATTTTTGGAACAATAACTAGTGGGAACTGTTTACTAGAAGAGCCGAGGGTAGGTGGCTGCGTTGTGTATTTTGCGGCAAACCTCACCTTTGGAAACACTGTTTTAACGAAATCACCCAGCGTCTTACTCTATTTGCGTGACTCTTTTCCCTCCCCGTGGCGCGCGGGGTGTTTCGTTCGCTGATTGTCCTTAGCATTGCTGCAAGTCTTCTGATGAGATGCATTTAAAAGGGGCTTTTCTAGAAAGCATTCATTTTTTTTTTCTTTTAAAAACCTTTGTCTGGGAAGGAGATTGACATTTCCACGCGAAGTCTGTCTCTTCAGGGAGGAAAGCTGGGAGACACTAGTCGGGCGAGGCAACCCCGCGGAAGACGTTCCTCCCTCCTTTACAGGTTCAGTGAAGTTCCTGGCAAAGGTATTTGTGTCGCGGAGAGGTCCCTTCTAATTCGTGTGGGGGCTGCTAGTAACATACACAGCCGCCTTTTGGGGCGCAAGGTCCGGGACCTGGTGGGTGTCGCGAGCGAGAGACACCGCCGCCCCCTTCTCTCGGATGTAGAGGCAGGTTGTTCGTGTGAACTCGAGCGAACGACTGGAGGTTAGCTGCTGCAGGTTCACTCCTTCAGGATGTGGGTTTCAGGGGGCGTTTTGATGTGATTTTTAATTCCGACTGTGAAACAATTGCTCAGGACTGGATTGCTGTTGGTTTTCCCCCTTTTGGTGGCTTTGGTTGGTTGGGGTTTACTTTGGGAGCGAACTGTGACTTGTTTTATAGCAACACTTCCTTCTGCGCCGGGCGCCGACGCCCGCGCTGCGCGTGGGGGGCGAGGCGCCCACCCTGCGCCGGAACAGGGAGAGAGGGGGGCTGCGAAGACGGCTCTCGAAGTCGGCAGGGTACATACAGCCCAGCCCCCCGCGGGTGCGGACTAGGAGGCTAGACTGACCCCCACCCACCCCAGAGACCCCTCCTACCTGTGGGGGGAAGGGGTCGCTGCCAAGTCAAGTCAGCTGCAGACACGCCAATGAGTACTTAATTACAGGCCAGAGGGGAAAGCGCGGTGCCCTTCAGAGCCCTCCCCGCCTCCTCAGCCCTAAGCCCCCGCCCGGGCTCCGGGTCTCCCCCTTTGTGTGGCCTGGACTCTCTCCCAGCGACAACTTTGGTGGGATCTCAGAGGAAGGTGGTGGCTGGAGGAGGGGGTACGGAAGAGGATGCTGGAAGAGAGACGCGAGGGTGAAGGACTAGAAAAACGAATAATGTGATTCCAGGGACGGAACTCCAGCAGCCCTCCATTTCCCACCCGGCGTCACCAGGGGACTAAAGCTGTGGGCATCTTCAGTTTAACGGACTTGTCGGAAAGCGGGGGGGGGGGGGGGGGGGAATGGCAGTTTGTGTCCCAGGGGTTCTTCCGCCTCTTCTCGCCTCCTTCTAAGACAAACAAACTCAGCCCCCCAGCCTCCGGGGTAACCGAGAACTCAGGGGACCGTGAAAACGTCCTTCCCAAATCCGGCCTCCTGCGGACGCCCGGCTCCCGCGGGGCCGGCGC